TTACAGTGCACAGCTACTAGGGCTCAGATCTTGATGGGCAGGGTTTAGGGTTTCCTTCTCTTGTTATCAGACCCGAGATCCTAATCCCTATAAACTTTGAACCCTAAGAAACCCTGCGTCTTAAACCCTAAACCCTGATCCCTAAACTTGAAAGCCTAGACCCCATACCTGAATCTCTAAACCCTAAAGCCCAATCCCTACCTAAGTCACGAACTATAAGCTTAAACCCTGAACTGGGGGCAAGGTTTGGGTATAAGAACCCTTGTGGCCCTAGGAAATGCAGCAGGCTCAATGAGACATGCAATGGCATCATCTGCGAAGTCCAGAAGCAGCGCGGTGCTTCAGGTGTCTGTTAAGCACTGCCTTCTTCTTTAAGAAGCTACGCTGAGTAACTCGGTAGTTGATGGTTCTCGTGCTCACAACCAGAGCAAGGCTGCACAACTTCCCCACAGCATCTTCGTTGAGGTCACACGCGTATACGGCAGGGTTAAGGGCCAGAGGCGATGGTGTCTGAAGCGCGCAGCGAAGGTCCCAGGCCACGTGCTTGAGCCCATGGAATTTGGGCTTTAATGCAAAGAAGGACATGTGCATATCCAGCGCCTGCCGGGCCAGCATGTGATAACCGTTCAGGAAAATTGTGAGGTGCAAGTACAATGACTGCCCACATTCTCTTGCCAGCCAAAGAGGGTGACTGTAGGCGATGTCGAAGATCTGCAGTCCATGATGAATTGTACTCCGAAGCAGTCGAAAGAGGCGTTTGTGCTCCTGCGGCAAAGGCGGCTCCTGTTGCAACCTGGAAGAGACGAACCAATGCAGCCACCCAGCAGCAGCATGGTGTCGGAACCCTTGCCTGTGCTGAGATCTGCTGGTGAAAGCTATTGCTGATGACCACTTAGTTTCCTGCCACCAAACAAAGAAAGGTTTAGCAACAGCTAAGCACAAAAGCCCAAACCCTAAAGCCTAGGCAGAAAGAAATAGAAAAACCGAACCATACGGAACGTAGGGTGCGTTTACGACTTCAAGTTAAAAGTCCCACGAACAGAATCGGACAGATAAAAAAATAAACTGGGTTTGAGTCAGGGGCTATTGCTCCAAGCGTAGTCACTCAGTCGCTTCATGTTGAAGAATGAAGGACTGAAGTAGCGAAGGCCAGGAGATTTGTGCATCGCCAGACACCAGAGCTTGACGCTACTGTGCGCGTTGCTGAGGCGACTAGCAAGGTTGCGCCGAGAGCCTTCATTGTCGAAGTAGCCCAGTCGACAAAGAAGGCAGGTAGAGCCCGCCGCATCACGGCCAATGCCGACCTTGAAGAGATGAAACAAGTCCAGCTTGTATAGCATCTCGGGCATGGCCTGATCGTACGGCGAGCGGCTCAGCGGTGGGTCATCGTTCCAGGGGCGCCCCTGATACAATGTCTCCGTCCACGCCGGCACGTCGCCGCTATCCTCGAAGGGATAGCCCGCCGCGCCAGCCATGCTGCCGATCTGGTGAATAGAGCCTAAATGCGCGTAGCTGCGATTCAGCTTCGCCGCCTTCTCGGCCATGTGCTTCAAATCGCCTTTGTGGCCCAGCAGGACGCCATAGTACCGCCGGTCAGCGACTCGCACGCCTTGCTCATCCAACTTGATGAGGTCCTCAGCCAAGAGGTTCAAGAGGCCCTCATAGACAGCAGGGTAGTCCTTGTACACAAAGTCTGGCAGGCCAAACAAGATGTGGCGAGTAAGGTAACTGCCACCCTTCATTGTGGTGCTTTGCCTCGAGGCGACGTCTAGTTCAGCTAGCTGCGCCACCGGACCATAGCAATTCGGCACATGCTCTGGTCTGGATGCAACAAAGTCATAGCATCCGCATTGCAGAGGTTCACTTTGAGAGGGCCCAATAGGAGTCTCAAATGTTGTGATGAGATAGTTCCCACGCTTCGGTCCCTTCCCTTCATCTCCAAAAATGATGATGGGAATTGTAGTGCGAAGGCGACCTGCGTCCAGGCTGAAGATATAATGTTCTGGATGCACCCATTGGTACATCTTCCAGAACGCTTGTAGGTGATCCTCCTGCGTGTCACGACCACCGGCCAGAACAGATGGTGAGCATTGCAAGAAATACCCAAGCCACTGCGAGACTTTGAGGTAGTGGGCCTCAATAGAATTGCCATCCACATTGAACACTTTCTTGTTAATCCGAAGAGGGATTGAAAGACCCATTTTCGAGAAAAACCGGTGCGAATCACGCTCGGCATTCTTCTCAAACTTTCGCTTTCCAGATTCATCCACATCGTCAATGTCATCTGCTCTGCCAGTGATGTCAGCTATGCGGCGTTTGGCATTGCTCGCAGAAGCCTTGGATCACAAAAAAAAAAGTTTGGGTTATAGGGCAGTTCGGGCAGGGCATTACGGGCCACAGAGGGTGGGAAGGCTTAAAACCTATTGCCATATCACGAGGACATGGAGTTGAGAGTAGAATGGAAAGGGTCGAATATCTTTCTTTACATGAAGAAGAGCACAAAAATGGGAAGCTCAATCTATGCTCCAAGCTTTCGCTGGTTTATCCTGGGTCGTTATTGTCTTCGCTATGGTTCTTCTTGCAGCGCATGATAATGTCTCATCCCATCAACTTCAGGAGCCTAGCCGAAAACCCTGAACCCCAAGTCCTATAGTCCCCCTTGAGTAGATAGAATATGGGGTAAGTTATGTGGATTGTATTATACTATATATATACCCCCAGCCATATCATCTACTTAAGGGGGACTATAAACCCTAAACCAAAAAATCAATCCAGAGTCCGGCACCTTTAATACTACCACTGACCTTCAGGCCTTCTAGGGTCAGGTTTCCCTTTGCAGGCTAAGGCTAGAGGGCTTAGGGTTGAGGGTTCAAAGGTTCGGTAAAGGTGAGCAGAGGGCTTGGCATGGCTTGTCGATCTTTTGGAAGTCTAGGGTGGGTTTTAGATTCTCTGGCTATGTTGGACGGATTGGAAGTTGGGTTCCAAGCAACCCTACACCCTAAAGCCTAAACCCTGAACTAAACAACAAAGCCCCTAAGTACCTTCAAACCCTAAACCCTATAAACCCTAAACCCTACAAACCCTAAATTTCGGTCCTGCCCCCGCCCAGTAAGACCCTAAAATAGGGGCAATAGAAAGGCTATTTATATATATATAACCATAATATTATATATAATATGATCCAACTGTTGCTGGGTGGGTGCAGGACCCAACCCTGAATCCTATCAACCCTAAACCCCTAAACCCTAAACCTTAAAGTTTAGCCCTAAGCCCTTAACCTTAAAACCCCAAAGCCCAAGACCTGAAAACCTTATGCCCTAGACTCTCTACCCTATAACCTCTCGAGGCACGCCCTCCCCGAGCATCTCCGCATACTGCGCCGCTCGGCGCTGAACATCCTGCTGCGGTGCCCCCTCACCTGGCAGAAGATTTGGATGCTTAGGTAGACCTAGGGTTCAAGGGTTCTAGGGCTTGCTTATTCAAGAGGCTTGACAAGTACCGGTTTAGAGGCAAAAGTGGCATAAGGTTTTCGGACAAAAGAATAGCTTTTGATTGAAGATTATCATTAATACCTCAGGAATCTCAGGAATTTTGGAAAGTAAGGATGGGCAGTGAGGTTCGGGCTCAAAACAACATGAAGTGGAACTGGCTCCGGCTCCTCCAATTTCAAACATGCCCCAGCTTGCAGCTCAAACAAGCACTTTGCTCTGCGCCGAGCATTCGAACAGATCTTCCCCTACGCATGGTGCACTGGATCAACCAAGAGGCGATCCCGAAAGGAGAGTCATTGTGGCTAAAACCACAACACCTCAACTACAGCCCCGATACTCCAGCCAGCCATAAGCCAACCCAGCTACAGGGATGGACTGAGCACTCTTTCATGATGGAGCATTGAGGGTTCCGAAGTTTGTAAGCTTTCTAGAACTTGGGCCGCACAAATCGGAAGGGTTAGCGTTTAGGGTTTAGGATTTAGGGTGTTAGGGTATTAGGGTTAAGGGTTTTAGGGTTTAGGGTTTCAGGGTTTAGGATTTAGGACCTCTGTCGCCCTGCCAACAGGAGAGGGTACACCTGAAAGAGCCCCTTGGCCTGCTTCTTTGGGGGCTTAG